AGGAGAGAGAGAGAGAGAAAGAAAAAGGAAAGAAAGGAGGGAGAGAGGGAGGGAAGAGGGAGAGGAAAGGAAGAAAGAAAAAGAAAGACGAAAGAAAAGAAAGAAAGAAAGAAAGAGAAAAGAAAGAGCAGCCCGGTGTGAATCATGGTCCGCAGCCAGCTGGGCAGAAAAGGCCCGCTTGACACACTTATTTCCAATTAACCACCCAAAAACTGACGTGGAACACCGCTCAAGTGGTGGAGCGGTGGCTCAAGTGGTAGAGTGCTAGCCTTGAGCACAGAGGCTCAAGGACAGTGCCCAGGCCCAGAGTTCAAGCCCTACAACCAACCAAAAAAAAAAAAAGTCAAGAATGCCCAAGGTGACAGCAGGTGATTTTCAGGACCAACACTGGGCCCAGTTTTTCCGAACTCAAGTTGCTCTCTATGCAACATCAGCCTAAGAAGTCTGAGGAACTGCCAGTACCAGACAGTGGCAGATATTGCTTCATAATTCGCCATTTTCAAGCTATTATACAACATCCGTGTGTGTAAGGCAGTGTGTATTGAAATTAGTTTATGTGAATATTGAAGTCAGAAGAGAAGCATAATCCAAATTTTATCTTTAGAATTCCAAAAACTCTTAAAGTAATATATGCCTCTATTAAAACACTCAATAAAAATCCTTCAATGAATCCTCACATCACCATGGGACTCCAGAATCATATTCAGCTTTTAGAACTTGTTGTTTAAAAGAGAAAGGAAAGAAGATCTTTTGCCCAAGGAAAATGCTAAAGGCCCCAAAGTAAAGCTTAACAAATTCCATGTTCTTAACAAATTCTACTTTCTTACATATACTTTAGTCACACAACTTACTTCTTCTTCCAGATCTTTCAATTCCATTTCTCAGAAAGTTCCCATGAAAATGTCCTAGCATGTAAATGAAGTTTTAAGTACCTCATATCCTTGGAAGAGATTTCAGATTCTAATGCCTCCTGCACTCTTATTTCCACACTGTCTGTGATCCAGTTTTGATACTTGTGAAGGGGTGCTACAGGTGGAGCTGTGACTACCAACCCATAATCCAATTTCATGGACCTATAACCTCTTTAAATACACAAATATGCACACACAATATATATGTGCCTGCACATATATTTGAACTGTCCTACATATCACTACCCTCTTACATTCTGCAGTTGGAAAGAAAAGTTAACTTTGATAACTAACTACTAAATTAAATGTTTTGTTCTGTGGTCAATTTATATAGTGTATGTATGAGCTTTTTGCCACTTAAAAGATTGTTTTTTTAAGTAGACATTAGGTTTTACTGTCTCTTGTAAGATCTGCTTTAAGAAATGGAGAATAAATGCCATTAGTGTAAGAGCTACTAGAAGACATACAAGAATGTTGAAAAGTGCTAACCAATAAACTTCATTCACAACCTAGAAGCTGATTTCCCCTAGGAAGGGCCCTATGGCCACGCTGGAAGGACCAGTTACTCCCAGATAATTAAACAGACAGAATTACAGAGGTCTAGTCCTTTGGAAGAATATCAAAATTATTGAACTACATTGTCAGTCTTTGTATTACTGATGCAAGAATTCTCAGAATACATTGAATCATCTCAGAATATATTGAACCAAAAGCTACCTGTTGAACAAGAACAGTGACCTTTCATTGCTATTCCACTTATGAATGAGTCATTCTAGTTAGGAGTATATATGTTAGGACTCAAAGATATTTCTTTCTAATAAAAAAAAATTTAAGTACTATTGCTAGGCACCACTAGATTCACTTAATAGATGTGCTTAGATCTCTATTGTAGATCTGTTAGGAGCTCTTTGGAACATTAATTCTAAGGACTTACAGCTAGTCCCATGAAGGCCAAGCAGAGGCTATGAGTGTAGGGAATTGTAGAATTTATGTCTACATAAATATATACCATTCCATCTGAGCTAGTATATTTTTTTTGTCAGTTGTGGGGCTTAGACTCTGGTTCTGGGCACTGTGCCTCAGCACTTCAGCTCAAGGCTAGTGCTCTACCACTTGAGCCACAGTGCTACTTCAGGCTTTTTTCTACTTATGTGGTACTGAGGAATCAAACCTGGGGCTTCAGTCATGCTAGGCAAACACTCTACCACTGAACCACATTCCCAGCCCCCATCTGAACTTCTTATTGTCCAGCAAGAATGAAAGACTTATGGAGGGCACTGGTGGCTCATGCCTGTAATCCTAGTTACTCAGGAGGCTGAGATCTGAGGATTGAAGTTCAAAGCCAGCC